ACATTTGGGAGGATTAAAAAAAAAGGAAGGGAAAATTTTGCAAACGCAACATTGAAAAGGGAGCAAAGAAGAAAAAGAAGCGAAGGCAGCGGCAAAAAGAGTCCAGAGAAAGAAAAGGATGTACGACTGATACGAGTAAGCCAAAAGGGCTTGTTCCTCGTCTCTTTCTTTCTCGCTATATACGGTATATGGTCCACAAGGGTAAAGTATATCTGGCTCTCTCTATCTCGACACTGGCCCGAGGCGTTGCGCAGGCAGATGCCGAGGTACAGACGCTCCAGTGGCCCGGGGCCATCCGCGCAAAATCATGCACCGGCGAAAGAGAGATAGGAAGGCCGCCGCTGCGACGGCGTCCGTGCGTATAAATGTATATACAGACGGAGTAAAGGAAAGGTGGACGGGAGAGGGACATATACACGTATACATATATACACACGGGGGGGCTTGGATGGCCCGCGGCCTCACCGGTCGAGAGAAGGTGGAGCACACCACGCAAGGATCTAAAGAGGACCCCTCGGGCGCGAGATATATACTCTACACGCGTGCGTCTGCGTATATTTATATTGCATTTATTTATACAACAACTATCGGCCTTTGCGTTTTCCACCCTCATTTTATTATTATTTTTATTATTTCTTTTTTCTTTTTTTTTCTTTTTTTCCTCCTCTTTGTACGTATTCGTTCGTTTTACTCCTATTATTACTCGTAAACACAGATTTCAACAAAAATGTTTTCCACCAAAAAAAACAATGCTACGCATTTTTGAAGAAATAAAATTTAATTACTGTATTTAAATAACTCTTTTAATACTTGGATAAAAAAGTAGTGATAAAAAAAAACATCTGGTATCATTTTTCAGGTGAGCCAGGCAAGGTAATATTAGAAGAAGAGTGTCATTCTTCTTCTTGCATCGAAGCAAACAAATGTAGCGGTTCTGTAATGGCATCTCGAAGCTGTCCCACCAAAGGCGAAGTCTGCTGTTCCATGAGTAAGTGACCAAATCACTTCACATTTTTTGTATATTATAATTATGCAAAATTTATTTTACTTTTCTGATTGAAACAGTAAAAGCTGAAGACAGACATCGTTGCGGTCATTTTGGAGGTGTATGCATGAACAAGTGTGCCCCGACAATCCAAGTCAAGCAAGCTGATGACTGTAGCAATGGAGAAACATGTTGCGTCTTGGTTTAACTGAAAACCGTAAAAATAAAAAAGCTCGCAATAATTTGAAATAATGTAATATACTTCTCAACGTACCTGTATGTAATTAACAAAACAATCAAACTGAAACTGTAAAAGTTTCATGTATAATAACATTGGCGCTCTTAAAGATGGAGCTGTTCAAATAAAACATTTTTTCAGGCTTACTATACCGTGTTGAAGTTTACTTTGACAAAGACTGTTTGTCTTCTTTTACCGAACTCTTCCCACGTTCCCACTCGCGTACACGAATGTTGTGTGAAAGTTTTCCTGCAAAACTGTAAGTGCCATGCAAGTTCGAGGTCACAACTCAAATGACTCGCGAAAAAAAAAGATGTACCGAGTATCGTCTACACACATTAAATAAAAACATTTAAAAAATCCATTTATATTACCAAAGGAAGAACTAGAATATTTTTAAACTTTAATAATCAGACTTGGACACCGTTTATTTTACAAGTTTTTTGAATTATAACTTTTGGCTGAAAATTAAATTTATTATTCAGCAGTAACAATATATTACAGTTTAAAAGAAAAAAATATACTTTAATATTTAAAATGTACTTAATTTGTTATCTAAAAAAAATTTTTTTTTAATTTCGTATTATAAATTAACAGTGTTGAATAATAAAAAAATTTTTTTAATACAAGAAATGCACATTATTCAGGAAAAAAAAATTTTTCAATAATGTCCTTAAAAATCCAAAAAATAATATTGTCCAAGTCTAATATTAATTAATGAAGCACCACTAATCATACACGAAATTCGATAAAGTTTTGATTTCACAAATTTCTTTCGATAACATTTCATAAACTGACGTAAATTNAAAAAAAAAAAAAAAAAAAAACAAAAAGAAAGGAAGGAAAATAAATGTAAAAACAAACTACTCCGTCGTCGTCGTCGCCGCTGATGCAGCATCCGCGGACTTATATGTATATTATATAAGGTGCAGCGGGGCGACTGTGGCAACTGGGGTACATTTTTCTTGCTTTTCGACACTTATAGGTGCACACTGCAGCTTTTGCCACCGTCGCCGCAGCAAAAGTTTAAACTCACCCCCCCCCTCCCCCATTTATATATATATACGTATACCTGTTAACCGAGCAATCCTAGGGGCTCCGGTTGAAAAAGTTGGACAGCAAAGTTGGCAGTGCCATCACGAGGACGGAAGTTCGCGCGAACGCCGTGCATTTCAGTAGATACAGCCAAGTCGGGGCCGGGGAGGTGCATCCACCTTGGAAATCGGACAATTTTCACGCGAAATAGTTATTACGTATTCCTTCGGAGACTCCCTCCTCCCGCATCTCTCTCGAGCGTGGATGAGACTGTTGGTTTATGTAGATGTGTACGTATATATATATATATATAATGTAGTGCGGCAATTTCCTCCCTCGAGTATATATGGGGACGTATATAGATAGGTACGCGTGTGTGGGTCAGGGTATATATATGTATATATATGTGCCCTACCAGCAGTACACTTGCATTTGTATGTATATGCCTACGTACCTCGAGGCCTACGCCTCGGTCCAGCGCGAGAGAGCGATTTATTGGCGGTAGGCAGCAAGAGAGAAGCAGAGAGAGAGAGAGAGAGAGAGGGAGGGAGCAAAAAAGAGGAGGCCTGGTAGGTACATCAGCAAAAAGGAGACTGAAGGTATACTGCAGAGGAGGAGAAGAAGAAGGAGTAAAAAAAAAGAAAAAAGAAAAAAGGGCCGAAGGAGAGCAAGTAAAACGAGAAAGCCTTGCGCGTGGGAGAGGCGAAGAAGGGGGTTGCTTAAGGGGGAGGTGGGGCACGTCGTTTAATTAGATCTCGGGGAAAAGCGCGCTTGCACGTGTACGTTATATATATATATATATATGTATATACGGCATCTGTCGGCGCATCTAGCTCCGGAGGACCTCTCTCTCTCTCTCTCTGTCTATCCCGCTCATACATTATGTATGTGTACCTGATGCGCACATATTCTCCTCGAGCAGAAAAGCCAGGCCGTAGGTACCTATACACGTATAGGTATACAGGCAAGAAGGCACCAGCAGCGGGGAACGCCTGCATGCTCGCGCAAATTAAAGTGCGCCACTATATGCACACACACACGTGCTTCTACGCATTGGCGGAGGTACACACACACACACACATATATATTATATTATATACGTACAAGTGGTCGTCTATGACGGGTATGTAGATACATGTGTATACGTGTAATATGCACGCGCGGACGAGTAGGTAGCGTGGCATTTTGTTTTCGCCCCTCCTATAGGCTATTACAACGCTTTTCCGCATTGAACATGCAGCTATGGGGTGGAGGAGAGCGACGCTTCGTAAAAAACCGCGGCTGGAATTTGAGGGCACCTCTCCGATATACTCTGTGTAGGTGTATACGGTGCTCTTCTCTCTCTCGCCTCTTTTGCATGATATGCCATCACACGGCAATTGTACAATTAGTGTGCGCGCACGTGTGCTCTATATAATATACTCGTGGGTATATATACCGCATCTTGGGATTATCGCCGGCAGGGCGAAGAACTAGCGCACGGGGAAGTAAGCGTGTGTTCACTCACTCTCTCTCTCTCTACCTCCTCCCGAGAAATTTATCGACTCGTGTGCAAGAGGCAGATTAGGCCTCTGAGTCAATTTACACGCCGACCGAGTCTCTCTCGCCTCGCCTCGATTATGTGTAAGCTTATAGCCCGTATATACCCAGCTTTCTGCTCCTCTTGAGATTACCCACCTCCCTTATACCTCTCTCGCCGTAGCGCTTGACTTACCTTATGTTACGCCGCGCCGAGCATCGGCAGCTATAAGCGACTCCGAGGAGCAAAGGAGCCGTATACCGTGGTACTTGGACCCAGTAGGTTGCAAAATTTGTGGGAGTGGGGGTTGGGGTATGGGACCACGAGGTGTGGGTATGCACAGCCTCATTCTCCTCCGTGTGGGCATATTATATACACGTAGAGGCCCGGGTATCGCGCGATGCCCGTACGGGCGTTGTTTGCGGCCGGAACGAATGTTGAATTTGGAAATTATACGAGATAAGATAAAGCCGGCGGCAGCTGTTGCCAAGACTATTATTTCTTTTTTCTTTTTTTTTCTTTTTTTCCTCCTCTTTGTACGTATTCGTTCGTTTTACTCCCAGCAGGCATTGCTTGATAACAGTACAAGCATATAATTTCTATTGGCATTTTGGTATCTGCTGTCCGATCGAAGCGCGCGCACGTTGTTATTTTGAACAAATAGTCACGTATATTTACCGCACATCAGGTATATACGTATGGACGTGCATATGCAGTATGTATACAGGACGTCGAATTAAATAATTTTGCGCGATCGATTGCAATACTATACGTGTACGTACGTCAACTTGAGTATTTAAATCTCCCACATGTGCTAGTAAATAACAACTTACCCATGATAAATTTGCATTTGTACATCTTTGAGCTGAATGGAAATGACAGAAGCACTCATTAATTACCACTGTACTATTTTATATTTATTTAGGACAAAGACACGGAATGATTTTGCCAAGTCCAACGGGAAAAATGGTATATAAAAAAATGCAATTGGAGTCAAACTGAGAAAATGAATGGAACCTATTTGTCTCAACACTATAAATTCGCATTTTTATTATTAAAACTGTTTCTATGATAAATAATACAATGATCATGTTATAT